CAGCTGTTGTTAAGAAAGTAAGCTTATGGTTTTTTTCTCTCCCTCTTTCTTTCTTACCTCTCCCCTGATACCACTCTTGTCAGGGTTCAGGGTCAAGGAATTCTTTCCTTATTTTCTGCTTTAGTATCTGTTTGCCACTGGGACGAAAAGAACTGCCCAGAACAAATTTAGGGGAGGAGAAGTTTATTTGCGGCTCATGGTTTCAGAGGTATCAGTCCATAGGCAGCAGAGTCCACTCCTTGGGGCTTGAAGTGAGCTGAACATAATGGAGGAAGAATGTAGCAGAGGGAAGCAGCTCACACGTGGTCAGGAAAGGGAGAGGGGGGAGGGGGGGGAGAGAGAGAGATATCTCCACTCATTAGATACAAATATATAACCCAAAGCTACACCCCCAATTCTCACATCCTCCAGCCACACCCCACTTGCCTTCAGTTACCACTCAATTAATCCCATTAGGTGATTAATTCACTTAATGGGTTAAGGCTCTCATAACCCAATAATTTCTTCCCTGTACCTTCTTGCATTTTCTCACATGTGAGCTTTTGGGGACACCTCACATCCAAACCATAACAGTAACCAAATTCTAAGTCCCTTCAAGTCTCAAGTTGTCCAACATTGAGTTTTAGGGTATTTACTCTTTCACCCACCTCTCTGGTCAGCTATTCTTTCACTACTTCATTTCTGGGCTGTGGTAGGGCCAAAAGTTGCTGCCTAGATCTGCTTTGCCATCTTCTAAATCCTCTAACTCCTATGATAACTATTCTTCTTCTACTTCCTCTCACTGCAAAGTTCTATATTCACACCTTTGATCTTCTTTCTTTCTCTTGCCGTTCATAATCATTTATTCATATTCTCAGAGCTTCAGTCAACATCTCAACACCACATTTTTCTATTCTTTCAACTTTCTTGAATTCTGACTTGAATACAAATCCTTCCCTTTTCCTAACCATTTTCTATCTGAGGCCTATGTCATTATATAGTACAAATCAGTCCCATCCATCAGTCTATTATGTCAGTTATACTGCTATGGATTGAATTGTGTCTCCTTCATAAAAAAGATATGTTGAAGCTCTAAGAATGTGATTTTATTTGAGAATAGGGTATTTACAGAGGTAATGAAATTACAATAAAGTCATTAGGGTGGGTCCTGATCCAATATGATTGGTGTTCTTACAGAAAAGAGAAATTTTGGTAGAGACAGAGATGCACACAGGAAGAATGCCATATGAACACAAAGGCAGAGATTGGGGTATTACATGTCAAAGAATGCCAAAGATTTCTGCAAATAATCAGAATCTAGGGGAGAGACACAGAACAGATTCTTCCTCACAGCTCTCAGAAGGAACCAGCTCTGCTGATACCTTGATCTTGAATTTCTCACCTCCAAAACTATGAGACAATAAATACCTGTTACTTAAATCTCCCAATTCGTGGTACTCATGGGAGATTTAGTGAATATAACATAAATCCCCCACTTTCCCAGACTAGAAAGCCTATTCATTCCAGGATCTTCCTTCTTCTTCATCATTTATATCCTAATCTCATGCCAAAGATTTTAGTACATTCCTATAAAAATGACTTCCAACATCTTTAACCTTATATCCTCCATTGCTTCCTTTAATTCTACCTTTTCCCCCAGTTCCTATTGCCATCACTCTAGTCCCAAACTTCATCATTTCACATCTCAAATACTATAAAACCCTCTAGCTGATCTTGCTTCATGTACAATTGTCTTCTAAAATGTACAATTCATGTTACTTTCATTGTGTTAGTGCTCTGCTCAAGATATGCATACAGTCTCATATTGCCTACTTTATTAAATCTAAATTTGTCATTCATGGTCCCCCAGAATTTGGGCCCTTATTGCCCACACAATCTTTTATCCCTCTATACACATCACACTTATTTCTGCCTTTGAACCCTGATCTATTACTCATCCCCCTTATCAGATGCTTTCTTACTTTTGTTCCTTTTTCCAAACCTGTTTACTTTTAATTCCCTGATGGATTTTCACCATCTGTGACTACACTGGTCCACAGTGATATTTCTTGCCCTTGTTGCATTGCAATCAGTACTTTTTAGTTTAGAACCCAGTGATTATATCTATTTTCAGTAGATTTACACACATTTGCATCTATATTTCCACGAGTTTACAGGACATATTGTTTGATGGTCAAACTCTTAAAGAGAGAATAATGGGAAGTGGAGGATTGGGGAGGAAAATGAGATCAGATACCAAGGGAAAAGAAAACTTTCACTAGAACAATGAAGGAGAATTAGTCCAAGTCAACATTTTCCAAATAAGCTTTCTGGACCATCAGCATTTAAATCATTGAGGATCCCTAATAAGATGCTGATTCCCAGACACCAATAAAGACCTACTGGATCAGTCTCTGCAGCCCAGAAATCTAAAATTTCATGGGTAATTCAAATGATTCTTACACATACAAATTCTGAGAACCATTAGTCTAATTGAAGAAAGCAGACGATAGATGCTGAAAGGGAACAGCTGCTCTTAAACTTTACTGAGTACATGTATTTTCCATCATAGCTAACAATAGAATAAAATAATTTTGCAATATCGTGATTTGCTTTGGTGTGATTGTCCCCCTTTGCTTTGAGCACAATAGTTCTTTCTTTCATCAAAAAGTATTTCAAGTACTGCATCACAAATATGGGCTAAGACAGTGTCTGGAAGAAGAGAAATATTTGCAGCACTCCAAGGAAAGGTAACTGGTTTTACTTTTTTGGGGAGAAGTAAAATATAATCAGGGATACACTATAGGGTCCTGGAATTCAAATTTGGTAGCATAGAGAGAGAAGACAACAATTCTGAGACATAGTTGCTTAAGCTTTTAATTGGAACCGATTGATAGCTAAAACATGTACCTGATTTAGATAAAAATGGAGAATACTCTCACTAGCTCACATTGAGCAAGATTTCTGCAATTGAGTACTATAGAAGTGAGATAACAGAATTAGATACGATCGAGGGGAAGAAAAATGCACAAAAGTCCTTGAATTAAAATGAATTGAAACCTTCTGGGAGAAAAGCTATTTGGTAAGCTCCATTAAGTCTATTGTAGATAGCTTTATTTGACAAAGCAGCATCCTGGCATGTGGAACAGGAAAGAAAATAGCTATAAGATGATCTGTCAGGGAGTTTCCAGTCTCTAAACGAATAAGATTCTGTGCAGTAGCCAATACAGCTTTTAACTCTAAAGAGATACAGAAGCAAAATGCAATTATATAACCCTAGTAAGTGCATTCAATCTGAATCTCCCACACACCCTCCCCTCCCCCAATAACTCCTCAAACACTGCAATTTATCAAGTGGATGTTCAAAATTATGGTTGCATTTATTTCACAGAAACACTGGATAAACACTGTATACAATATTGTAGATACTGAGGTAGAGATGATTCTATAAATTATAGATTAACCAGCTATAAAGCATCCAAGTTATGCACAAATAATTTGAATAGCTCAATTACCATTAAAGTCTTTTGTTTACTTTGACTATAAATTTATAGTATTTATTTGCAGTAATTATTTTTCTATTCTGAAATGCCACCTAACCACTGATTACAAAGAGTTTACTTAATATACATAGTAGTTTGAATGTTCAGGGATCCAGAAGATGGCAAAAATAGAGGAAATTCAGATTTAACATCAAATGAATACCTCTTTAAAATCATGACTTGCTGTTTTCCTTTCCTTAGGAGTTTCTATTCATGGAGTAAAAATTCTAAGACCACTCAAGTGGATACAGTGTTTCTGACTTCAATATACAAGTACTGGAACCAGAAAACTCAGATTTGAATTATAATCAACCAATCTCTTTTCACTCTGCTCCCTTACACACATCAGGGGCAGTATACCACGGTATATCTAATATCTGCCAGAGTTACTTGGCATGTAACAGTTATTAGATGAATGAACTCACTTAACCATCACAAATCCTGGTTATATCATTTTTATAATGTACAGATTATAATGTGGAAGCTGAGGGTCAGTGAGGGAGAAGTCCTTCTCAGGTCAAGAAGGACAGAACAGGGGCTAGAACTGAGGTTTCTAACTAGTGCATTTTCCACTGTACCTTCTTATAATGTAACTCCTAAGATTGTCTGGAATGGTTTCTCTGAAAAGGCTGGTTTTCTGGCTGGTATTTTATATCTCCCCACGATAATCTTCCATCCAATATGGTTCATTATGAAATTGAAGAGCAAAGTATTATCCTATTGTTCAAAAAGTTTGCACTATGGGTCCTACTGGGGACTCACCCCATGGCTTCTGTCTCACAGTAAGGTCCTAACTATACTAGGTTAAAGCAAAAGCCTTTACCCAGACAACTGTGGACTTCTCTTTGCTTCCCAATATATCTCCAAGTGACCATAATGGAAGGCAATAGATATGTAGATTGTCATAAGTTATAGATATTTCTCTTTAATTTATGGATCTTCTTTTAACTTTATGGCTTCTTTAATACAAATATTTATTTTTTATGCAGATATATTTATTAAAATTATTTATTATTTCTTTTTTGTAGCCTTCACCTCAAATTATAAAACCAACTTCTTCTTTTCATGATTTCTTTTGGTGTATGTATTTTGTTAACATTTAAATCTATATCTGTTATTAATTTCAGTGTAAAGTCAAAGTGATGTAGTATTAACACATGGGCTCTCTCATGCTTTCTATTTCAGAACATGTTATTAACAAATTAAAACCAAAATATAGAACACTGCTGCTTAAATACCTGGTGCTTCTTGGAAAAAAAAACACTTTTATTTAGGCATTTCAATGGAAGATTGGGATAAATGAAAACCACAGAAAATCCTATAGACACGATGGTGATATTTAACTAAAGGCCCCATAAATTATTTCTATTTGATGTCCAGTCTTGTGGGTTGATGCCCATATGTTACTTTGTGTTAAAGGTTTAAAAATATTGCCCCAAAAGATGTTTGCTAAATAAAACAAAACAAACATTTTTTTACCTGATTCTTCAGTTTCTTTGGTTTCTGTTGTTTCTTCTATTTCATCATCAGACATTTCCATTTCTTCTTCTCGCCTGATTCCCATTAATTCATCATTGTGAATGTTGCGAATTTCCTAAGGTTAAAAAGTATGCTTTTAAGGTAGGAAAGCCTTAATAATGTTGAGGAAATGAGTAGAGTTAAAAATAATATAATGCAGCTTTTTTGGACATATTTTTAAAATCTCAGCATTCTTTAGGCAAAGGCAAATGAGCATATTGAGACAAAACAGTCTTATTAGAGAAAGCACACTTGGGTATACTGTGTCTTGCATTGAGCTTTCTTTGCAGACTCAGAGTTCTGACAGTCTATAATTCTTATTTCCCTCCCCACATTAGAAATTGCTTTTAGACATAAAAGGCTCCTCATCTCTTACTCATGCAGATTTCTGGACTTTTTCTTAAGGTTTTTGCCATTTTCACCTTCCCATGTTGGACACTTTAATTTTGCTGCTTGCCTGGCAAATCTTTTTCCCTCTCTTACAGTTTTACTCGACAGAATTCTTAATTGAATTCTTGAAGTTTTAGAAGTTATGGTAAAAATGAGGTGCCAGGAGTAAACTCCTCCCAGACAAACCCTCTCATAGATAATAACTATAATCTTTGAACAAAACACAAAACAAAACAAAACCTGTAAATCCTCGATGTCATTGGAGAGTCAACAAAAGCAGGCATATTTTGAAGAGGAGCTGACACTTGGAGGAAGAGAACAGCATAAGATGAGTCTCAATTTTTAAAGGGCCTTTTAGTCTGAGAGCAGAACAGAGTTAGCTACTCACAGGGTGGCTATATTTGTAATAAACAACCCAGTATTTGTGGTCTAAATAACTCAAGGAGAGAGGTCAAGGCAATGACAGGCACTAGAAAATGAGGAGGGTATTTCAAAAGGAGAAAATGAGAGAGAAAGAGAGGGAGGGAGGGAGGGGGAGAGAGAGAGGGGAGAGAGAGAGGGGAGGGAGAGAGAGAGAGAGAGAGAATGAGAATGAGAATGAATGAGAATATGCAAGATAGTGAGCACTTCAAATTCTGTATATGAGATCTGTTCAAATTTTTGCATGGCCTCTCATCCAATGAGAGCACAGGAATTTTCCGCACAGCATCGCTAAGGTTAAAATCTCTGAAATGACATTTTTCAAAAATAATTTTTATAATTGTAGGTGGATACAATATCTTTATTTTATTTATTTATCTTTATGTGGTGCTGAGGATCGAACCCAGGGCTTTACATGTGCTAGGCAAGCACACTATCACTGAGCTATAACCCCAGCCTTGAAATGATATTTAAGCTGCCACCCAAAAGAAAGGATTTCCAGCTTGAATTGAACGAAACAAATTCACCATTAAAACAAAACAAGATCAACGGTTTTAGAAGGACATAACAGGATTTAGAATTTTAAAAACATAATATTCATACTTATTCAGGATAATGTCCAAAATACTTGATATATGAAGAACCATGATGAGATGGTCCATTTCCAAGAGGAAGGATAATCAGCAGAAACCAACTTTAAAATAATGCAGATGTGGTAATTAACAGACAAAGAATTGAATTAAACCAGCTATTATAACTATGTTCAATGATATAAAGGAAATATGCTCACAATGAATAAAAAGATAGGGAATCTTGGTAGAAGGTCAAAAACTTTAAAAATGAGTCAAAATTTCTGGGTCAAAGGTTCTCTTGTATGAAAATAAGAAAGCCAAGAGTGGTTTGTCTGGAAATTTAAAAAGCCAAAAAAAATTCTTTTTCTGATACATATTATATTTTCCATATTTCTTTTATATAATTGAGTATAGATATAATAGCTGTTTTAATTCCTTATCTGCTGATTATCACATCTGGGTAATTCCAAAATTGAAAAAATATAATACCCCAAATAAAAATAATTGGATGAGCCTAAAAGTAGAATAGAGATGGCAGAATAAAGAGAGAACTTAAACATAGAATAATACATATGTTTTCAATTTGAAGAACATGAGAAAATATATACAGCTAAAAGGTAGATGTACATAAAATACACAATTTTATAATATATATATATATATATATTAAAATTTTTAAATAATAGAAGCTCAGAGAATTGTCTGCTTGCACTGATTACTCAAAGGTCTAACCTACATGTAAATGAAATTCCAGAGAGAATAATTTGAAAATATGTGAAGAAATAATGGTTGATAGCTTCTCAAATCTGATGAAAGACACCAATCTACATATTCAAAGAGATCAGTTAATTCCAAGCGGGATATGTGTGGAGAAAAGTATGTCTAGGAACAAGAGAAAAGAGAAATTCTTGAAAGCAGATAGAGGAAAACACAACATTATATAGAGGGGAATAATTTCAATAATTTTCATTTCTTTCAGAAATGATAAAACCAAGAACTCAGTGGAATATTATTTTTAAAATTTAAATAAAAATATTCATTTGTTCAGAATTCTGTATGCAGAGAAAAAGATAAGTATATTTTTTCAAACAAAAGTAAATGTAAGAATTTATCACCAAGAGACCTGTACTATAGAAAATGCTGAAGAAAGTTTTTCATGCTTTAGAGACAAGCTACCTGATATTAATAAAGCTCTTCAGGAAGACATGAAGAACACTGCAAATTATCAAGATCATACTGGGAAAGTCACATTAGAAAAAGTAAACATGGTAACTGTGCATTTTGGAGCAGCTCAAAATCATTTAAAGGCTACTTAATGCCTGTCAGAGGCCTCTTAGTTCTGAGTTGCAAATTCCTTGCCTAGATTGACCCTTATTAGGTTTCATACAGAAAGTATCCAAAGCTCTCAGGTAAAAATTGCCACCATTTGTGGGGATTATATATATTTAAAATGGATTTCTTAATAATTAACACTGCAATTAGTCACTATTCCAACTAAGTTTCTCCTTTTTTATTCCTCTTATCAAGAAAAAAATAATGATTTCTATTTCAGATTAAGTTTTCATTAAATAAATAAGAGGCCCTTTAAAAGGTGAGCTATTCAGTATCATTGCAAAGTTAAGAAGTAATAGAGGGGGCTGGGATTGTGGCTCAGCGGTAGAGCGCTCGCCTAGCACAGGTGGGACCTGGGTTTGATCCTCAGCACCACATAAAAATAAAGGCATTGTGTTGTGTTCATCTATACCTAAAAAATAAATATTTTTAAAAAAGAAGTAATAGAAAAATCAGATGCTAATATAGCATCTTCCATGTACTGCAGGTGTATTATTTTAAATAGAATAAAATAATGACTAGCTTGAGAAAAATCAACTTTAAACATCTGTGTCATAAGAGAGATTTATTATGTCTTATTCCAACTCATCGCACAGAGAAAAATAAAAGAATTTCTTATTGCTGTGACTCATTCTATCTCAGGAGACTGAATTTCAGTTATCATCAGAGCTGTTACTGGAAAGGTGATTATAATGAGGTTTGACATTGGCAAATTACAGTATTGTACAACTTACTGCATGAGGAAAAGTTGTGGCTTTCTAGATGACTAACAAAAACGTACACTGTCAGAAGGTATAAACAGAGATCAACTCTCAATTCACACATGTCACACAACCCTGGGAATGTTAGTGTTTCCCAGAAGGATTATGTTCCTTCTAAGGAAATATCCCAGGGCAGGAAAATCTGAGAGCTAAGACACTTCCTGTAGCTGCTCAACATCCACAAAACATCTTTGTGTTTCTAGCTGACAAGAAACCATAATCTCTTCTTAGAAATATAAAAAGTTCAGTCACTATGTAATATGGCTTATCTAGATGTCTTTCACAACTTCAAAACTCCCTAGAAATATAACAGACTTAGGGACAAATTTTACCTAAATGCTTCAAAATACTCTAGAAACAAGAATTACCATTTGCTTTAGCAGACAATGAAATGAGGGTAAGAAAAAAAAGGAAGTTTGCTCTAAGTTGTTCAGTTAAGTAAATTAGCAGAGCTCGGAGTCCTCTACCCACTAGTCAACTGTTGTAAGCTGTAAAGAAAGACTCATAGCATTATTCTTCTATAAATAACCAATACTAAGTCACACAAATGCTATAAAAGCAAAGAGAACAGCAGAGGTTATGGGGTACCATACTAAAGTGAAGTCATAAGAATCACTTAGTAAATGACTATACCTCCAAGAAAAATGAGTGAGATCTTAATTCTTTGAAAACCTTACCATTATAGCATTTTATAGTTGAGATACCCATTTTCTGCATTCTCTCGTTAGATAAGAAAATCTCTACTTTGTGAAGCAAACCCTAACCAATACCTTCAGAGTGAGGGGTTATAAGGTGGCATGTGTCTGGAAAAGGTGCTTTACCTAGATCAGACGTAGGTATATAAAAGGAAAGGATTCTAAGCCACTAAAGTACAGACAGAAAAGAAAATTGCTACCTCTCTGTTTTTCTAGAGCTGAAACTAAAAGAGCACCAATGCCATGCAAAACCATTTTTGGGAATTTGCGTATGTAAATCTCTACCAGAAAACAACCAAGTCACGACACTAACAGTACATCAAATAAGGTAAGATGGCCCTTCTAAAGATTTTATGCTACTTTATTGCCCACTGTAGATATTTGCTATCATTCAGTTCAATAGTAAATTGTTAGTGATTTCTAAAATGGCACAATACTGTCTTTGCATCTGTTCTAAAGTTACTTTTTCAGAAGCTTAGAAATTCCTACTGCTCCACAATGGACAATGAAATATACTTTCAGATAGAATTAAATTGAAACCCAAGACAGAGGGAAGTGCCTGAAAAGAATTACTTTTGCACTAGCTGGTGTTTTTGATTTATTATAAAGTAAGCAAATCATAATTAATTACACATTAATTATCTAACAATAGTTTCACAAAAATTTATGTGGAATTAAATTCATCTTATTTGTATTTTATGATAGTAACATGATTACCAGAAAAATCAACATTCCTTATTAAATTTGTAACAAGATTCTACTTACCTGGATTTTCAACATTAACAGGAAACTTGGCAGGGAAAGGGTCATGAGGGAATGAAAAGGAGCAGAGGACAGGGAGATAGCTTTCTATACTTATATTAGCAATTTGATTCTGAGGTATCATTTAATACAATGAAGCAAAGCACAAACACAGGTACTTGATCAATATATATTGTATGATATATAATGAAAATACAAATTAGGGTGTTTCAAATTGGGTTATAATGGTTTTTCTTTTCTTTTTTTTTTTTTTGGTAGCTGAAAGCCAACAGCCAATGTTAGTGCAAATGTGTCCTAAAACGAGGGTATGTGGATGGTTGGAATGTCTATCTGCAAACAGTTCTTCAGAGTTTGGAATGATAGGCCTGCAAATCTAGAGAGAAAGTTATTTTATCAATCATAGTATTTCATTTTAAAAGAATACTAGCAATCATCAGGCCCCTTTTCCTATGGCCCAGTGATATAAAATCTGATATTAGGGAGGATGCAAGGGACTATCTCTTCAGTTTCTCCTGCTGTGGCTCTAGTTTTTATATATCATACAAGATCTAGCCTTTGGTGTAGGGCATGCTTCAGAGACACAAAAATTTTTAATGATTCTATAGAAAAAATAGAGTTTCAGTGACAGAGACAAATGCTAGTAGTCACTGTGGACAGTAACTTTCAGTAAGGGGTGGGACTTCAGCCTTCTCTTACTACCCTTTACAATTGTATTTGCAGGAAACCCACACACATATAAATCAGGAAAGTAAAGACATATTAGCAAATTAGTCTGCCTGACATATGCTGCCAAAGTTAGTGCTTGAACTCCCCAAAGGTGAGGCCTTTTCCTTCTTGCTCTATACCGTCTCTGAGCAGAGTAAGGCAGTGTTGGCTGCTCATAGAAGGATGACAATGAAACAAATAACAGATATTTTATGACATGAGGAGGTGACCAACTAATTTTCCCCAAAGGCAACTGGTGAAAAGGTTAAGTACCAGAAATTTCTACCATGATGAAATGCCTGACACATAAGTTGTAGCATTGATGCCAAGGTCAAGAAAAAGGCAGTCAAGTTTATTAAGTCTTTGGGATGCTTTGATTTTCCAGTGGGGTGCTAAGATGTGGCCATAATTTAAGAAGATAGTTTCTTCACTTTCCACAGGCTACCTCCTTTCAGTCCTCACAGTGGCCTGCTATGAAGTGATAGTTTACAAAGGTAAAAAAACAAAAACAAAAATAATAACATGAACAAACAACTTAAGAGGCACCAATATAAAGTTTAGGGAACGCAATCAGTGGAAGGTCACCAGCTATATCCCACAGCTATATCCAGCTATATCCCAGTAAGTAGTTTTACTTACTGAGATTGAGATATTCATGGTGGGCCTTAATTAAATCCAATTTAATAGATAAGAAATATTTTGGGTTTTCCACAAAGTCTACAAAGCACAATATGAAACATATAGCTCTTGGCAAGTCATACTGGCTATGTACTTTATCCTCATCACTCTGCCAAGGAAGCTCCATAACAATATTGGCTAATAGGGTGCATAGCTCTCAATTCTCTTCAGGCCCAGAGAAATGTCCATCTCACTGGCACAGCTATCTCTACTGTGAACCTCATTAAACTAAAGTATATTCCTACCACATAGGTAGACTTGATATATAACTAGTAGATCCCTGAAAAATAATATCCATGCGGAATATTTTATTTCAATGCAGTTTACAAAGGGTAATAACTTGGAGGCCAGTGCTCTAACCAGAGGCTCCCTTCCTTCTATAAAATGGCAACATTGTACTAGCAGGGCTTGCCTTAAAGGGTGGGGCTGGTCATATAGCTTCTTCTAACCCTAGGAGGGATACAAGTATATATGTATTGAAGGGAAGGAGGAGACAGTATAGACTGATTTAATGCCCAACCTGAAAACCAAACTGTTCTAACATCTAAAACTTTTTGAGGGCTGTTGTGATGCCATAGTAGAAGATTCCACTCCTATCTCATGTGACAGGTTGCAATCAAAATGCAGGTACACTATTGTATAAAATTACCTTTAAGCTATGTGTATAAAGTGTATATAAAGTATAAATGAATTTTCTATTCAGACTTGAGTCCCATCCACAGGAAATCTCATGTATTCACAAATATCCCCAAATCTGAAAAAACTCAAAATATGAAACACTTTGGCTCCAACACGTTGGATAAGGGATACTTACCTTGTACTACTTTTCTACAATTGTTAAGACACTGAGCATTTTTTGTTCAACCTTTATTCTTCTGAACTAATGAGTTCAGATATTTGAAATTTAGTGTACAAAACTCCACTTCTCCTCTTGACCACTTTCATTCCCCTTTTAGCTCCCAGAGGGCAAAGACTATTTCATCCTGTGTTACTTGTCACAATGCCCGAGACAGAGAAAGTACTCAGTAAACCTTTGAATCCCAATGTTGAGTTTTGTTTGCAGAGAATCAACAACATGAGTTAGCCCTGAAATTCTAAACTCACTTTGTGCTACAGAAGGATAGCTGTTTCCTTTTTTTGCTCCTAATTGTTTTTAATAAGTAAAGATGCTATTGGCTTTTTATGGCCCTACCCAGTCATTGGACAGATGTCTTCAGGGATTTCTCTCTCAAATGACTCCCATATCCCTTTGCTGTGCCAGAATTGATGGCTCAGAGACTGTCATCAATTTATGAATGGAGTTTGGATCATGTTCTTCTAAATGTTCTTCATGGCTTTTGAACTGTTCCCACACAAATTGTCTCATGTATTCTCATGAAGGACACAGTGAAGAGATCACTGCCTTCATTTTAAAGGTTAGGAATCAAAGGCTTACCTAGGTTAAATCACTTTGTACCAGAGCTCAGAGTGAGAATTTTTAGTTCACTTGCTTGTTATGTAATTTCATGTGAATCACTTAACATTTCTGCATTTCAGTATTACATGTAAAACATGGATTCTATATCTACTCATTATCCCTTATCAAGTTGTTAGTAATTAGGTGAAATGCTATTTACATTTTCAAACTATTTACACATTTCTTAACTCATTTAATTTTCTAAGAGTGGTTTCATTATTTCCAATTTACAGATGGAGAAATAGAGACTGAGAAAGGCTGAATAACTTGTTTCAATATGCACAGCTACAAACCTAGCAGAGCTGAGATTTGAATTCATGATTGACTTTAAGTCTAATACTCTTTCCATTATACCATGTCTAAACATGAGCCTACGTAGGTGAGATAATCAATGTGAATGTGCCACATAAATGTAGCTCAGTGGTAGAGCACCTGCCTAGCATGAGCAAGGTCCTGAATTTCATTCCCAGCACCACAAAAAAGTAAATATTTTATAAATGATATGTAATTGTTAAAAAATATGACAACCTGCATTGATATAAACAATGAAATTGTTACCAGACTGATAAAGAGTACCCAGAAATGAAGTTGCTGCACATATAGATTGAAATATATCAGGACTGGGTAAGGAAGCTGCCCACAGAAACAGAAGAATTCATGGTATATATATAACACCATTTCCAAAGGTAGATCAGTGAAAACAAACTCCCATCTTGGTTTTTTAAAAAATATTTTTTATAGTTGTAATTGGACACAATAACTTTATTTTATTTATTTATATGTGGTGCTGAGGATGGAACCAAGGGCCTTGCATGTGTGAGGCGAGCACTGTACCGCTGAGCCATGACCCCAGCCCCCCTCCCTTCTTGTTTTTTTTGTTTTTGAGAGAGAGAGAGAGAGAGAGATTTTTTAAAATATTTATTTTTAGTTTTTGGTGGATAGAACATCTTTATTTTTATTGGTGCTGAGGATTGAACCCAGCACCCCGCACATGCCAGGCGAGCGTGTTACCACTTGAGCCACATCCCCAGTCCCCCATCTTGGTTTTTAATCTTGGAATTCAGAATAGCAACCTAATGACATCACATATATTATAGTATTAAGTTAACACTGTTAATTGAGCATTAGCAGAGAGGTGTGTACCAACCTTAATCTGAAATGAAAATCCTCTATTACCTTTAAATCTGCTACCTCTAAAGATGGCTATACAGGTTTGATAAGAGAAGCTCAGAAATTTCTTTTTTTCCAATGTAACACCAGTTAGCTTCTAGTCTCAATTGTCAAGACACTCCAATAAATGTTAAGACAGCCCTAATATTACTAACACTAGAAACACAGGTGTAATTATTGTTGTGCTCAAGAATAGCTAGTTTAGAGAATTAAACTTATAATTATCCCAGATACACTTTCACTACTAAGGTTTCCAGCCAGCAGAATGCATTCAAGACAACATACATACATTTATTCCCCTTTTGACAGCAGGTGTTCTGGACACCGTGACAGGCTATAGGACACTTAGTCTTTCATTAGGGCCTTGTTGTGACCATGGGAGCTTGGCACTATTTAATTCTGGCTAAATTCCAAATCAATAACTTGTTAAAGAAAGAAACTATCCCCCTGAGGAACTACCAGAGTAAAAAGTTACCAACCTCAGCTTGTTTGCACCAAACGCTGATGTTTTTACGCTGGGCTTTTGTGAAGTGGTCCCATGCCTTCTGTTTGGAGGCAGAATGGTATACAGCCACTATCTGCTCAACTGCAGCATCAAATCAGCATTTGGATCAGGCCAGAGTATCATCCAGGGATGGCAAAAGACAGGAGGAGAGAAATAAAAGAAACATTAGGCTTTTTGTGTCTTTTTGTTATAACATTGTACTATGCCATGGTTGAACTTGGAACAGGTTATGTGCGCTGGCTATGATTTTAAAGGGGACTCAAAGGAAGAGACATCAATATATAGAAAGAAAAAACAGAACCTCCAGGGTTTGAGATGAAATGATAGCTTAAGTTTTAATATAAACAGTGTGTATTTATTCAGACAAGAGAGGTAAGAGACACAGTAAACGTGCTTTAGTTTAGTACTTGTGTTTAGTTAGTATACTGACCTTACATACTGCAGAAACAAACTGTACCAGCAACTTCTACCACTGAGTTCTTTCATTAACTAGCCCTTTTAAATAATCTGGGATGTTTCATTTCAATAGAATTTTTCCTTTTACTATTCTGAAGTATATTTAATCAGAATCATCAAATCAAAACCTAAGATGGACTGCCTATTTTAAGGATACCTAGACAGACTTGTTGACTGGAAAATGTAAGTTTTATGGAAGAAGACTGTGTAAGTGCAGTCCTAGAGAGTATTTTTCAGGGTCTTTTAAAATGTTAAATGGAGAAATATGTACAAATATTCTAGGGCTTTATCCTAATCAGTTCAAGAGAGGGGAACCTTAGATATGATATGAATGACAATTCTGGAGAAAGAAAAGCAGGACAAGAGCCCCTGCTAGGCTGGGGTGTTCACAGTAAGAAAATCTGGAGGTACTGTTTTTTTATAGCCCAGTTTGCACTGTCATCTAGTGAGTTAAGGATTTATATTCCTATAATACTTGCTGCTCTCTTTTTCTACTTATTCTGAAGTCCTGAAGACATACATTTTTACTTCCTGGGTTTTATGCCCATATATACTTCCAAATACAAGTGGAAAATGGAACAATTCCTTAATCCCAATTATATATAAAGCAAGTGTAGCAAGTATAGGAAGAGTGGACCATAACTGTTTAAAACTCAAAGTATAAAACTGCACCCTTATTCTTAAGGTGAGTGTAGTTCCTTACTGAAAATTTATGAGTAATTTTGTAAGATGGTGAACAAAAAAATGACTTGACAATTTATCTGTTTTATCTCATTTAGGAAAACTTGAAAAGGTTTAAAGTGGTACTTCTTTTTAGAAAATGCCCATTTCAATGGCTTTTCACCCTGTCACAGTGTCTATCATATTCAGAAAAGGCAGTGGAAGAGAAGAAACTAAATATAAAACATAGAAGTAGCAAATTTGTTTTTTATTCAATCACATCTTAGTAATTATAATTTTTATCACTAAAAGGCCATAAAAAGCTTATTAAAATAATGACAATGAGGCAAATATGAAGAAAAACAGTTTTAAAATGCTGACATATGACTACTATTCAGGAGACTGAGGGAAGAGGATCACAAGTCATGACCCACTTCAGGAACTTAATAATAAAATTAAAATAAAACTTAAAATAAAACTCAAAATAAAAATTTTAAAACAGGCTGGAGAGGCAGCTCAGTGGTAAAGGGCCCCTGAGTTCAATTCCCAAACCTCCCCCCAGAAAAATACTAATGCTATATCCTAATGTCAGCAATAAAATACCCCCCCCCTTCACTGAAGCTTGGTACTATCAAGTACAGAATGTGGTCTAAGTATCAGTATTTCTAAGGATCTGAAGTAGATACACCAGAGGAAATGAAAATAGGAGATGCTCACATGAATCCTGTGAAACTAGAGCTTTGGTGTTTGGCAATACAAAGAGAGCACGAGATGGTGGAGGAAGATAGCCTTGCTCCTTAACACAGGATGATGGCTCTATAGGCCTGAGCTCCCACGAGAACAAGTGGTGACTCAGGGAAGCACCCTCTCACCCTTCCAGAAGAACTGTTAACTTCTACTCACATTGAATGAGAATTCCAGAAAGGGCCTGCTTGAACTTCTCCTTTGCTTCTTCCATATCTTTCTCATGGGCAGCTTTCTCATTCACTAGGCGGCGGACATGGCTGTTGGCTGACTGGATCATGGAGTAGAAGTTGTTGGCACTGCGGCGGTTCACCTCTCCTCGCTCTATCCAGGTGAGCAAGGTCTGCACAGCTTCTGAGAATTTGGAATCATCTGAAAAAAAGAGTTTATTTTTAGAATTACCAAATGCAACCTAATCTCCTTTAAAATATTTTCCCAACATGCTGCCAAGGAGGTCATCATGGCTTTTTGGAAATCATGGTTTAGTAAATTGCTGAGGATGAGGAGCTACACACGCACACACATGTGCACTGCACATAAAGGGCAGGCAGGAAGAAAGGCAGAAATAACAAAAGCTTCCAAAAGTACTTAGATTGGCTATAGGTTATTTCAGAAATGTAATTGTTTGTTGTTTCCTTAACAAAATTTTTCCACACTGGGGTGTGCCTCAGTAGCAGAGTGCATACATGCTTAAATCCCGGTTTGATCCCCAGCATCACAAAAACAAAACATTTTTCTGCACAGATATTATAATTTTCATGTAATGTAAATTGCCTAACTTTTCAGAGCGTGTGTGTGTGTGTGTGTGTGTGTGTGTGTGTGTGTGTATGTACACACCTGCATGCTTGCATGAGAGAGGAGAGGAATGAGAATGAGCTATGAGTTAGCAGTGAGGCAACTTCAGAATTCTCTAATCCTATGTTTTAACAAGGAAAAATAAACATGAGTCGTGAGTTTAACTTCATGTTGACATTAACTTTACCCAGGATCCATGGAATTATAGTGTTGAAAGGAGCCTTAGGGAAGAGGTAAGTGGGCAAGTCTTTAGGTATAAACATATCTTTGACCTTTTATAACATCACTCCTGCATGTAATCCATAGCTCTAGGCCTTCCTCTCAGTCCCAGTCACAGTCTATTTTGATGCAGTTCATTTTATTTCTGTATTTCTTCACATTCTTTTTCTCTTGCTGGAAGAATCCTCATAGTAGATGTCTGCAGCTAGTTAGGAGTTATTCTCTGATGTTAAGATATTAGCTCAGATCTTCTAAAGCTTCTGGTTCAGCTCCCTGAAAGCCATTTATGCACTCTGCTATTACAGATTCCTAAGAGGGAGAGTCCATTAGCATCCCACTGAATCCCCATTCTAGGGCTTTACATCCCTCTCTGATCAGAAACCCTTCTGTCAAGTGGAAGTATCTCTCACTGCAATTTGAACTTCTTGCCTCTTGCTCTTTTTTCATTGAAGGCATATAATAGGAGGTCAGCCTTCTTTTTATACCAGCTTTTCATTTCATTACTTGGATACAGTCTTGATGTTGATGCTCAGTTTTTTGTTTCTCTTGAGGGCCACGTTACCAGAAAATTCTTTTTTTGTATGTTTGTTTTTCACTAAACTGACTTGTTTGGTATCATGTGAGTAGGCAAGTCTTGGAGCTGACATCTTATCAATGCCTTCAGCCATCCCAATTTTTCAAAATATACGATTATTTCTGTGTCTCTATTCTAGATTCTATATTTTCTGCTTTTCACTTTGCAAGAAGTTTAAATCAACCCAAAGAGAACTGATTTCTTAAAAGTGTGAGTCACTTAGAGTATGTCATGTAAATAAGTTTGGTGAGTGAGACTTATTTAGAGAGTGGAATTAGCAGGATCTTGCTGAGCTGAGAGCACAAGAAGGAAGCAAATTCATACCATTAGAGCTGGGTTGGAGTCACCAATAAGATCAATGGGACACCAGCATTCATTCAATAAAATCAGCTATACTCAGAAAATGAGAGACTAGTTTGACCTACTATGAAGAGAGCAGGCAGGTTGATTAATGTTAAATTAGAAAAATGGCTTTGAGAATCAAGCAAAAGGAACATGAATCAAAACTAAAGGAAAAGCAATCTGACTTAGCAATGTCTGGAAGTTTCCATAGCCTCTGTGTGAAATAAATTGGCCTTTTTAAGAGATTAAAAAAGTCTTCCTTTAGTAATTTGTGGCTAAGTCTTTGAGTAATCTAAGAAAAATGTACACTGTGACTACTTCCGTGCCTTCATTTTCTCATCTTTAAAATGAGGATTTTTACCAGGGTTTATTAGGGTCACATCAAATTATATCATGCTGATTCACTCATTCAATTTAGAATTCAAAGCTTACTTGCATCTATTATGAATGAGGGTATGTACAGGTTCCCAGTGATGAATCACACTTAATAGTCTCTGATGTGGAAAGTGGGAAAAACCTATTTCTTCTTAGTCATCTAATGCCTACAGGGGAAAACACCATCCCTTGAGACAATGAAGAAGCAGAGACATAGGTGGCATGGACAAATTTCCTAGATCTTGAATTACTAGGTACAAGTCTCTATCAGCAAGGCTCCAACACAAGAAATGCTCAGAATCCACGTGTGGGATATTCAAAGGGTAACCGCAAATAATACAATGATATTTATTACAATTCCCTAAAGAAAAGAGTTCTTTTAATCATGAAACTTGAATGCCTCTATACCTTTTAGTTTTTCAGCAACAATGCTACATTCATGATCTGAATAGTGGACCACTGGGGGTGGGGATGGAGGGCGCAGTCTTTCTTCTTCCATCCGTCTCCGGTGGCGCTCCTCTCTAGCAAGCATGCGCTGTTTACACTCCCACTCATACAGGTCATCTCGAGCCTGTGCAAAATCAACGTGCAGCCGGCCTGTATCCTTTTTGTCAGTACTAGAACCCAGGCGAATCCGGTAACCTAAGTTTGAGTGGAAAGGGGAGAGAACAGCAGACTAGTAAGGTCAAGATCAGTGTTTCAGGTGTGGTTAGAGCACTTCCAAGTGACCACAAAATCCCCAGTTCTCTATTTCATGATTATATATGCTACCAAGGTGAATCACCAAAAGACAAATTGTAATGTCATCTCCAATAACTATTTACTATTCTGTTGGGTTAGTCCTCTTATTTTTAATTTTTTAGTTATACATGGGCACAATATTTTTATTTTGTTTATTTTTTAATTTATTTTTATGTGGTGCTGAGGATCGAACCCATGGTCTCACACACGAGAGGCGTGCGCTTTACTGCTAAGCCACATCCCCAGCCCGTTAGTCTTGTTTTTATGAGTTCCATTCCTTCATCTGCCACTTACCTTTGAAAGAAGGTGGCTCTTTGGTAATGACATCTGGAATAAGCCTTATATGGCACCAAGGGCTGGGAAGAATGGAAATAGTGGCCTCAAATTATGGGGTCTTTGGATAACTTCAAGAGTGTCAGTAAATATACCACAGTTTCTTAATCCATTAATCAATCTATTGGAGGGCATCTAGATGAACGGATAAAGAAACTGTGGCATAAAAAGGAGTATAAAATTATGGCATTTTCAGGTAAATGGATGGAGTTGGAGAATATCATGCTAAGCAAAGTAAGTCAATCCCAAAAAACCAAAGGCCAAATGTTCTCTCTGGTAAGTGGATGCTGATCCATAATGGGTAGAGGGGACATAAGAAGAATGAAGGAACTTTGGCTTCGCCAAAGGGGATGGGGGAGGGGAAGGAGCATGGGGGTAGGTAAGATGGTGGAATGAGATGAACATCATTATCCTAGGTAAATGTATGATTGCACAAAAGGTGCAACTCTACATTGTGTACAACCAGAGAAATAAAATGTTATGCCCCATTTGTGTACAATGAAACAAAATGCATTCTGCTGTCATGTATAAGTAATCAGAAAAAAATTTTTTAAAAATGTAAAACAAAAGAGTGTCAGTAAAACCATCATACAGGAATTCAGTAAAATATAAATGTATTAACTTGGCATTTCAATCTCTAAAAATCAATTCCTAGATACATTTGTTTGGAATTTTTCTCCCTTTATTTCTTCAAATATTGTTTCTGTTCCTTCCACTCTCCACTCTCTATCAGGGCTGTAGTTAGGCTTATATTTGGCCCTTTAACATTGTCTCACAGCTCAGTGATATTCAATTCACTTCTTTAAAATAATTTTCTTTCTGTATTTCATTTTGGA